TCCGGGGGGGGGCGAAGGACCCGTGCACCCATAGACGCCGGTGGGCCTGGGAGGGTGGCTACCGCGCTGCCTGATCAGGAAGGGCCCGGGCAGGTTGCAGTGCAGCGGTATTGCAAAGAGAAATAAACCGCACGTCACGGGGAAGGCGGGGTGGGGAGCATGCTGCTGTCTGTAGCTGGCAAGGCGCCGGGGGCCGTTTGCGTTGCACCCATTTCACAGAAGGGAAGACTGAGGCACGGTGGCCCCAAGGGCATTCCAGGGGCCAGGAATCCCTGCGCGTGGACTAGGGCTGCTTCCAGAAGCCCTTGGAGGTACCTGCCCGCCCCTTCTGCTGGGCACCCAGGGGAACTGGGGATGTGTCTGGCTGCCCACCCTGCCAGCAGGACTGGGGGTGCCCGCGGTGCCTTCTCAGCCCCTCGCGCAGTCACGGGCCAGCCCTGCAATGCCCGTGGCCAGCTCGTGGTGCCAGGTCCTGCCAGTGCACAAGCGAGAGCCGTATCGGAGTATCACCCTGCGGTGTCGCAGCCGTCACTGCCCCGGCTCCGCGTTGCTTATCGAGTGTGAACCCCGCCTGGGCCTGCGGGCAGCACGAGCCGTCCAGGGGCCAGTCCTGCCGACCAGGCCATCGAAATCCTAGAGCCGTGGGGCTGGAAGGGAGCTCCCAAGGTCACATCTAGTGCAACCCCCCAGCCCGAGGCGGGATCAGCCCTGTCCAAACCATTCATCATCCGAACTCTTCGACCATCAACCCTGACACAACAGGACCCTGCCCCAGGGAAAGCCGGGGGACTGCGGCAGCAGCGTCCTGCTGCTGTAAAAACGTTGTTAATAGACACTCAAGAGCTCCCAGGCTGAGGCTGTGCGTGCCCTTGTACAGAGGAAGGCAAAACCCACCAGTCCGGACCAGTCTGACCAGGGGGGAAAATCCCTTCCTGACCCCAAATATGAAGTTGGTCTGACCAGGGCTAGGTTAACAACTTAGTGAGCCGTTTATATAACTTTTTTCACTCAATAATTATGTACAATAAGCACCACTGGGGCCCCTGCTTCACGTAGGGCCCTAGCCAGGACCCTCCAGCTTTGGTGCCAGCAGGAGCACTGGCACAGGCCAGTCCCCAGCCCCAGCCTGGGTTGCAGCCAACACCCAGTGCCTTTGAGGGAGGCTTAAACCCCACCTGACACATGGAGCAGAAAGAAGTTGGGGAAACCAACAAAGCCTGGGGGACTGAGAAATCCCCACAGCAGAGCACAGGCATCAATTGCTAGGTCATCTCCGACTAGTGGCTCTGCAGCCTCTTCTTGAACACCTCCAGTGATGGAGCGTCCACCTCTTCCCTTTCATCTATGCCATGAGCTCCCTGCTCTAACAGCAAAGTTTTTCCTGATCTCCAGTCTAAACTTACTTTGCTGCAACTTCAGAGCTGTACCCCCAGCCCCATGCCAGATCCAGTGCACTCCAACCAGCTGCACACAGCACCCACTCCAGAGCAGCTCAAGTGGGGGGCGCTGCGTGTGGCATGTCCTGGACTCCACACATGGGGCATGTCTGGTACACATCACATATGGTGTGTGGGCCAACTCCAGACCTGGGAACAACACTGGGGCTGGATAATGGCGCTCTGTGGACTGTGCCATTGACACCCCCAATCTAGCATGTATTAACAGCGTCAAAGCTGATGGCACAGGGAGCCTTTGTAGTGAGCAGACAGGGCGGTCGTGTTACATGATGCACTTGCTGCGCTTTGTCTGTCCGGTATTTGTCGAGTCTCTGTTCATCTCTTGGCTGGCGCAGGGAACTCTTAGAAGCGATTGCATGAAGCTGGCTCCCCAGTGCCCCACTCTCCCATCCCACAGCCCTGGGAGCTGGGGTCCCCTGCAGGTAGGTGGAAATCTCTTGCTTTGCAGGGTTTTGCAAAGTGAATCAAGGATGGGCAAGGATCAGGATACATCTGTGACCCCTTGTGAGCCATGCAGTTGGCAAAATACAGCTGCGCACAGGCCTTTTAGTTGGAGAAAGCATTGATGCAGACAGAAGTCTTCAACCTTGCTAGCTCATTTGCTATTAATTCATGATGCAAAGTCCTGGAGGAATCAAACAGCAGCAGGTGGGGGTTTGCCCCCTGTTTGAATCCCTGCTTAGCAAACAGGTCGGATCCCTCTTAGCTTCTCCCCAGGTCCCTGCAGCCCCAGGCTGTGTCCAGCTTTCCACTCCTTCCCTGGACTTTTTTCCTGCTTCTCTCACATAACCAGCACCCAGCTTAGCCCATCAGGTTTCTGGGAATCGTCCTGCCTTTGCTTGGCTACTGCCAGTTGCCAGTGTTTGGCTTGGAGACCACTGTTGTTTCATCGAGGAAGTAAATTCTTTCTTTTCAGCTCATTGAAGAAAAGGCTGGCGGTTAAACCAACCCATCCAGCCACACTTCATCTCCTCCATGACATATTTATTTAATAAGCACATAGCAGGAGTGAGTAAAAACCAACAAGGTTGGGACTGGGGTTCTATGACTAGACAGTCTTTGCTCCAAGGAGCTTACAGTCACCAGCACCGTACATAGCTGGAAGATGAGCCTGCAACTTCCTCCCTGCCCCGAGCTGTGAGGACGACACATCTGCAGCAAGGAGTTCAGCTGACGGGCAGGTGAGATGTACCTGAGGTGGGAGGATGTTCTTTCACAACCAGCTGAGTGCATTGCAACACCTACACCCCTGTGCTACACTGGAGCCTTGGAAACCTGGAGCACGTGCCTGGGGTGGTGCTGAGCTCTGGGACAGAAATGACATCTGGACAGCAGAGATGAGCCCAGAAAACCAGGCCTCTAAACTTCAGCAAGTGGAAAATACAAAGCGGCAGCTCCCTGGTGCCAGAATGCAGATACCCCTGCTTTGTGTGTGTGTGTTTGGGGGGGGGTTTAAAATCAGGGAGGATATTTCTGGCTTCCAGGGCAGGAGAAGCAACTTTGTGGGGCTGGCTGCATGCCCTGAGCACAGCCCTGGGATATCACACATGCATGTGGACAGGCAGGGCAGCTGTCAGCTGGCACAAGGTTTTCCAGTAATAGTCACACTGCTTGAGTCAGCAGCAAGGCCCCCCACCCCACCCAGTGGCATGACGGGGCAGCTGCCCTGGACTTCCCTCCATGAGCACCTGGCACTGCTGGTATGTGCTGGCATTCATGAATAGCAGCAGAGGTTGCAGTTGTAGGAGTTCAGGATCGGCTTGGGTTCAGATTCCAGGCTGCTTGTCACAGTGTCAGGCTGCAGCCCACGAGGCCTGAATCCCAGGTCTCCGCTCTACCCATTGGGCCCTAATTCCTCCTCAGAACTAGGATGAGAACCCAGGAGTCCTGACTCCCCACCCCCATGGCTGTAACCACTACAGCCCATCCTTTCCCCAGATCTAGGCCCAGAACCCAGGAGTCCTGGCTCCCAGGTCCTTGCTCTAACTCCTAGATCTACTTCCCCCTTGGGACTAGCAAAGGAATCCAGGTGTCCCCAGGCTCCCTTGCTGTAGCTGATGAACACCAGCCTGTTCCTGGAGCTGAGAGAAGAATCCATGTGGCTGCTCTCTGAGCCACATACCCATCTCTCCACTCAGAAACCTGAGCAGCCACAAATGAGCTTTAAAAGGGCTCAGGCAGGCAGCGCTAGGGACCCGTCCTGCCCAGTCATGTGCTGGGAGCCGGAGGCAGGGGTAGCCCAGAGTCTGCCAGGATGCCATGAGTCACTGGGAAAGCCCCATGATTCCCATGAGAGCTCAGGCTCCACAGTGGCAGGTTGGGGTGCAGGGCAGAAGAGGCTGCCCTGGCTCTGCTAGCAAACACCTTCCCAAAGCAGAGGGCTTTCTCCTCTTCACCTACTCCCCTCCTGATGTTAAGGCCTTGCAAGCAGAGGTGGCAAATGAGTTCTAGCCATTTCATTCCTGGCCCATGGTTAACACCCAGAGGATGCAGCTGAGCCCCACAGTGCCAGGTGCTGTACAGAGCCAGGGTGAGAGATCCTTCCCTTCCCCAGCTGAGATCAAAGCCCCATGGTGCCAAGAGCTGCCCAGACCTTGAAGGAGCTAACACCTGCCCCAAGAGCTCCCAGTCTGACTGAACACAGTACAGGAAGAGAAACTGAGGCAGTAGATTCTGTTTTTACTTACAGCTCCCTCAAGCTCTTTTATCCATTTGCAAGCCCACATCCCTCCTCTCTCTCCCTCTCTCCCCAGCTGTGCCTGAGCTCCCTGTGTGCTTGGAGGCGGCCACAAGCTGGATCTCATTCATGCTGGCATCTGTCCAAGTCAGCTCCATTGAAAGTCACTCCAGTTTTACACCTGTGTAAACAGGAGTGGACTTTGGCTGGTGCCATTGGCAGACTTCCCGCAGCTGCTGGCAAAGCCTCCTGGACCCTGCACACGCAGTGCAAGGGACCCACATGATGCAGGGAGGCCTCCCCTCCTTCTCTGCTCACTATAAGGGGGCCCTCCCTCTCTGCTCACTATAACAGGGCAGGGGTCCACAGGCACTGGAGCAGGAGACACTTACTCAGAGACCTGTAGGGTGGGAAAAAGCTGCTGGGTCCCTTGGAGACAAGGCGGCAGGGAGGCAGCATCGCTAAAGGGCTTGTCCCCATCTTCATCTGAGGTTTTAAGATGGAAGTGGAGCTCAGAATTTGAAAAGGCAGATATCAAGGGGGGCAGCTAAGGTCGGACACGTGCATGTGTGTGTGTGTGTGTGTGTGTGCGCGCGCGCGCGTGCACACATGCGCACATGTGAACATCCTGACGTGGGGTTGTGTGCAGGTGTGAACATGTATGTGGGACTGAGAGTGCAGGTCTGAACATGCATGTCCCAGCTGGCACCTCCTTGTAATCCAGAGCTGGAATTGCACTTGGGAAAAGACCCACCCTGGCTTTTACTTCACTTGCTTGGGTACCACTGGGCAGGCAAGGAGTAGGCATCACAGCATTGGTATGGGCCACGCTTGCCCCTGTGGGCCACTGGGCACAACACTGCTACCTGACAGTCATGTTCCTGCAGCTGCGCCTTCCCGGTGCCTAAGCAAACCAGCTGACAGCCAGCTTAGATTGTCCATGCCAGGTGCGATCCCCACAGCAGGTGCACTGCAGACATGTCCAGAACACATGTGGGCACACGTGGGGGCAAAGGCAGGCCCATGGGGCAGGCTGAGACCTGCACAAGGAAGCCCCTGATAGTGTACATAGGAGGGCTGGGTGCATCCACATGCGAGCACCTGTGCTCACAAGCGTGCATGTGCCTTTCACCAGTGCCACCTCCTGGGTGACAGTCCATGAAACAAATCTGCCACTTTGTTCCTAGGACCCCAGGGTCCCTCTGGGAGCCTCAAGCTCTAAAACCCCATGTGTCCAGGCTGGAGTGCCTCAAGCAGGGAACAGTGCTCCCTGCTGACACCTAGAGACACCTCCCTGCCCTGGGGGTGCTGGGGCAGAACTAGAAAAACCAGCAGAGCAGGAGACAGCAGCAAACATCATCACAGATTCACCGGCTCCAGGGCCAGGGGCTCCCTGCATCATTGGCCAGGACAGGAATTGGCCAAGGAGCTCCACTTCCGGCACCCAAGATGCTAAAACCACCTCATCGCATGCAGGAGGCTGTGACACGTGCAAGCTGGTTCGCCAAGGCCAGGGAGACATTATCTGCGGTGTGTGAGCGGAAGCTGAGGCATGGGGTGGATGGGCCGCCAGCCTCTCAGTCACCCAGAAATCAGTGCAGGACTCAAGATAACGGCCCTGGCACCTGCTCTAGACCCCTAGCTCTGGGGGGAAAGGGCTGCGGGGCAGGACTGAGAAGCATAAGCAGTGCAGAGGGGAGCACAGGGCTGGGCTAGCAAGGTGTGGGGAGGCTGCAGATCTAAAGGGAGGGGATTTAGGGGAGTTGGGTGGGGGGTCCAGAACTAAAGCAAATTAGCAACAGGTTACAGGTCAGGACCGAGGGGCACTGGCAGGGCTGAGGGTGAGCCCAGGACTGTGGTATCAGGAAGATGCCAGGTACCAGCAAATCCACCAGGAAAGACCTGGCCTAGCACAGCAAGGGACTGGAGCAGCATGAGCCAAGCTGTGCAGAGGGCAGGGGATGGGAAGTCGACCAGTCTCTAGACATACCTAGGCCACAGCCCTTCACTTGCCCCAAATCCATCCTGCCTTCCTCACTCCCTGGTGGAAGAGCAGGTGCTCACATGCCTTATAACGAGGGGGAAAGAG